TGGACGAGCTGTTTGAATAAGTTGTCCATAGATGTGTCGGTCTGGCGGTCGCGCTCCACCTCTTCGGGGCTAAAACGCATCTCAAACAAGTCATCAAATGAATTGACAAACTTGTCGTTAGAGTCATCGGACGGCACACCCAATGCCCTGTGGTTTAGAACCAGACGATTAAGGAATTGACTGAAAATGATATCAAATTGAGTGGACAGGCATTGGGAGCCCGGCTTTTGGCAAACGTTAGCGTCGGGCACAACAAACGAATCGATCACTTTGAGTGGATTTTTGCTGTACTCGTAGTAAATGGTTTGTATAGTCAACATGCGTTCGCTCGGGTGCTGTCGATGTGTTGGCATATATCTACATCGAGCCAATCGGCGCCTTTCCGGTGGTCCCCGACTGGTCGCTGCCAACTGACGGGTTGGGTCTTCAGATTCGGCAATCGGTGGTCTCACCTCTTGGACACCGCACTCGACAACAATCCTTATAGTACTCGTAACAAACGGCTCATTAAAATAAAGTTCCTGTTCGCCAATACATGAGCACTGTTTGTAGTCCAACACTTGCCGATAGACCACATCGTCGCCGATCCGGTCGGCTATAAGTATAGAGTAATTGGCGTTGAGGTCGACAATAGGGTCCGTCGGCTTCATTATGAAGAAGAGATGATTGATTTTGGAGGGCATCGAGAGCTCGAACGTGAAGAACACGACGACCACCCGTTCGTCCCGTAAATGCAATTCATTGGACGGGTTCTCCGCGCGAAATATTTTTCCCGATTCATAACAGATCCGTTTGTTTTGAGCCATAATTGGGTTTGACTCGTGTTTGGCCACGTAGTCGAGCCGTTCCGATTCGTACAATCCCTTCTTCTGGACCTCTTTGAGCTCTTCCAGTGACATGAGATTCAGGCGAACGCTATCCAATAGCAACGACTCCTCCACAGACTTCTGATTCGATCGGATCCGACACTTGCGGATCCACTTCTTCACCAACTGATAGATATCGTACTCGTGGGCACCAAACGTGTCCCGACTGATCACATCCAACACTATATCGCCAGATATGAACTGTTTATCGAAAGTCTTAAACGCGTAACTGATGTTCTCATCAAAAAAGTGAAGACACAGATCCGTGAGGTATAGAAGATTATGCAGTTTCGCCATTTCCAACAGTTCCCAAATAGTGAGCATTGAGTCCTCATCGGTGGCCGCCGTCACCGCAGAGGCGTCTCCTGTGTTGCAAACCCTATGATTAAACACTTCAATCAATTTGTCGGACAGTTGGCGCTCGCACTCCAAGAACTGGTATTTGCTGGCAATGATAATCGACTCAAACAATTCCTGTATCTTCAATGTCATCCATTCCTCGTCAGTCATCGATATATCGTAAGACAGTTTCAACACAATGAGGAACGGCTTGACGAGCGTATCCTTCAGTGATATCTCCGATGTCTTCGTCTCAATCATCTCTGAGTTGAATAAAGCGCTGAAGTATTCACTCGAAGACATGAGAACCGATTTGTGGACTAATAATAAACAAATGGTAATCAAAGGTAAACCAAACGAAAGCCAACTATTAATAGTCAACGCTTTGATGGGACTCACCATTGATTCGTTGGTCACCAATAATGATGGCAAAGTCGCTCACCTCTGGCCTCACAAACACCGACGACAACAGCGGATCCATTCGGTGATAATGTATGTAATGAGTGATCAATTGGTTAACAATTGGTCAACAATTGGTTTAATTATGAAAGCATTCAAAACGTGACGAAAATAAGTCGGGATTTCAATTGCGGACCGATTTTAGAGACCAATCAAACGAGCGGTCAATTCAACGACTATTATGTCTCCAATCGTATCATTGGTTCTCACATTCAACACATGTTTTGCATTCAATTCACGATTTAATTGTGTTTTAATTGAATGCAAACATTAATTCAATTCAAATCCAAACCCACTTCTCATTTGTAAACAACTTTTTTTTATCAAGACTTTAAGAAATGTGTTATAAATTGATTCATAAATTATGTCATGTTTTTTGGTGCAAAAATGTGTTACAAATATATTTTATACAATAAATTGCTTGCATTTGAAAGCCCCTGAAAATAGGGGTCAAAACATTGTGTTTTACAGTATTTGTGGATTGAATTAAAGGGGAAATGAGTTCAAAGCGATTGATTGGTTGCCATACGTTTGCATTGGGTTTTAGCGCTCAATACAAATGTTTCATAACTTTATTAACAAATAGTTATTAAATAATTGTTAATTTAAACTTTCTTTTAATGTTTCACATATAAGTCAAGCGCCGACTGAATCAATAACATAAACAATAAATTCAATTAAGACTCTCATCACTATTGGAATCGCTATTTTGATGCCATTAGAGCCGAGGGATAGACCCGATGAGAGACTAATCACCGCAGAGGACAACACTTTTCTCATTAGTTTGAAGACAAGCCATATGTTTGATTCAAATGCAAACCGAGAAACGCCGCTAACCATCGGTCAACTTGTCTTCCATTGGCTATCATTTGCTAAGCGATGGTTTGGAGCAATACTTTGTTGTTTGTGTATCAACTTGTGGAGAATCTCTTGGACCAGTTCATCAATGACATGCACTTTTTGCGGGTCTTCAAGTCGGACACGATGTCCAGCCTGTGCTGTAAATGAGCCAACTTTTTAATGTGTTGTCCAAAATTATCTCTCGCTTTGACGGCCGCAATGGGAACGAATGAATTAAGTGCCGAGAAAAGTGTCCGTTTGGCACAAATTTGTATTGAGTGAAAGTGAATAGAGAGCCACACGCGGGGCAACACGTGGTGAGTACCGGACACTCTGTAAAGAGTCGCGGGTCCACGTGATTAAACATTTCTAACAAAACTGGTGGCCACACGTCTCAATACGACACTTGTCGGTAATGTCTTGGGAACAGATAAGACACTAATCCTCAGCGGTACTCTCGCGTTGTTCCATAGAATCCATAGTTGTCGTAATTCTTAAAACTATGGTTCTTTGATTCTCACTTTTAAACCTACGATAATCTTTGGAAATTCCTGTTTTATCTAACTTTTTCACATTTTCACTTATTTAACTTTTCTGTTTAAAATTTTAATAAAGTATAAAGATAATAATAATTAATTGTATGGTTTATTGTGAGTATAATCAAGGTAAATCCAGATTCCTATGCCATATAACTACGTACTGCATATGTGAGACATTGGGATACTTATGGAGCCAATCATAGGATAGGCTATTCATTTCAACAACAAAAAGTTGCCAAAACTTTCTCAATGGGTCAGTGAATGGGACCTATGGTTGCAAAAGGGGTTCAACACATATAGCCAAAGTGGATACTTATGGAGCCAATCATAGGATAGGCTATTCATTTCAACAACAAAAAGTTGCCAAAACTTTCTCAATGGGTCAGTGAATGGGACCTATGGTTGCAAAAGGGGTTCAACACATATAGCCAAAGGTCGCCCAACAAACCCAACCTATCATACCATACAAACTGGTCCTCCACATCCACACACATGTCTTCCTGTAAATAAACTGCTAATCAAAATATACATATTTTTGGTAAATCACACGCTTTTATACTTATAATTATGTGCTTTAATTGTGGAATTAGATAACATAACCATAATTATCATCAAAAGTGTACAAAAATAGACAATTAATCAGTTTTGTGGTGACGAGAACCAAATCCATAGCCATGAGAACGGCGCTGGAAGTGATACCATTGTTATTGATGATGGCGATGACCGGTCACGGCTTAGTTAGTGGACTCGCACTCAACGATACTGAGGCCACTTTTATGGCGCTGGAGAAGGCAAGCGCTCTCCTCGACCCACCCAAAGACCTGTTCCAACAGATCCAGAGCGACCTCATAGTGATCCGCAATTCATACCCCAATGTGTCGGACATCAGATATGTGTCGAATTGGGTTCCGGGAAAGTTGCTCTGCAATCACATGCCGGAGACGGGCGTCAAGAAACTCAACGACAGTGAGTTCGGACCCATCAAAGAGGACAGAACCGCTCACTACACGGCCATCACATTCGCCAAGCCTTACAACACACCCGTACTCATCAACAAACTCAAGGAGAATGACCTTCTGGTCGACGGTTACGACTGTCGCGTCGATGGCATCATTGATGGCAAGTCTAATATCATTTACAACTACGACAAGACCTATACGTTCCACAAGGGTCTGGACGACTGTTCGGTCACGTGTGTGGACAAACATTACTGGACTTTTTCGGTCAAAAACGGAACCGCACTCCTCATCAAAGAGACCGAGACATAGGGCTATCGATGCACTTCAGACTATCAATACATATCACAACACAAAACAATTATTTAATTTTCTTAATTATTTAACAAAACTCTTGTAATAAATCATTTATTGTCGACAAGAAAACTATTCACACAATTAAGAGACTAATGAAAAATGAAATAATTTGTAATTAAAACCTAATTTATTAAAGTAATTCACAGCGAGTATAAGACTCGACCAGAAAGTGATGGACAAGTATTTATATCTCAAACGGGTTTCGCATATCTCTAATGCCGACAACGCGTTCGTCGATCTCCCGGACGTCCCATCGGATGGTAGAGTCCTTATAGCGGGGATTCCTGTAACGAGTCCTGTCGGGCGAGACCTCAATGGCCTCATTGGGCACTCCCTGACACACGATCTCCCAAAAGAGTTTGTTATTCTTGTCGCGCGCCTCCACCTCTTCGGGCGTCGAGAAAAGGCCCAGACGTTTGTCCCACCGATAGGGGGCGTCGTTGAGGCGGTCCAATAGGAAACAGCCCGCTATGACCACTGCACACACCACTCCCGCTATACGGTTGTTGGGCTGAGCGTAGGCTACAAATAAAGCAATACTATTAATATCAATCAAAGTACACAACAATAACACCGATCACAACATACATGTGCCCCTCGTTTGCCAGTATTTGGGCTTTTTGTGGTAACTGTTGGGTGGAAGCGGTGGCGGAGGTATCGGTCGCTCGGCTCCGGGCGGAGGGTTTGTCCCAAACACGTGTCGATAGGCTTCGGGAATGGCCGACGGGTCGTGAACTATGACTCGGGGCGGATCAGATGGCGGGATATTATGCTCGCCATCGAACCACTGATCGTCTCTAGGAAAGAAAGGGTAACAGAGTCTAAATATAGGTTAATTATGGGCTAACAGAATTTGTAGTGAAGACCCTAGGCTAGCGATAATAACAGAGGGTTTTGTATACTGCTATAAATAACTGATTTTTTGTCTACAAATTTTTGTAAATTCATTCATAAATTACAAACAAATAGTAAATTAGTATTTGTGTGAAAATAACACTATTTTATGCATTCATTTCAATTTGGGGTCTCTTTTGTTGTTTACGTTATTTAAGTCTTTATTGCCCACTATTTTAGGCTCAAAATTATCATATTTGGCAAAACGTCTCAAATGAGTGACCATTTATTAGTACTTTTATATACAATAAACACACGCTTTAATAGTAATGATTGGAGTATACAATAGACCCAAATGTGATCGATTGAGTTAAGCCACGTGTGAAGCAGTAAACCAATGCATTTGTTTACCATAGGTTTGTGTTATCAATGAAGTGAACGATAATATAAATAAATGAATTGATTTACCGATCATTTAGTGGACAATCGCTGTGACCGCCGAAGATGTCGGCCGTCTTTGACTTCCAAGACATCCATTTGCGAGCTTTGCTCAAGATTTTGAATTTTGTGAACAACGAGTTCTTGACGACCAGCGCTTCGGCCGCCGCCACAGCCCGGACTCGACAGCCCTCTCGACAGCCCTCTCGCGGACCGACTAAAGGCAAACTCGCGGCCAAAGCGGCCGCCGCTGTGGCCGCCAACACATGCACTCAACTGCACGCCAACGACACCATTGAGTCCATTGATATACATAACCGACAGTTGATTATCGACTCTATACTCAATTGCATCCAATATTTTGACCAACAATTCAAATATAATTATAAATTTGGTAATTGTTTTACGCATTCACTCCTCTTCTCTGCCATCAATTTGTTGCCATANAATAATCGCCTGTTCTTTCATACAATATAATGCTATACTCAATACAATGGACTTTATTTACTGGAAAACTGCTTGGTTTGTAAATTAGAAGGTCAACAAATGAGCTGGGTTGATTTTTCAAATATGCCAATCATATTTGAATCATGTTCATTCTGAATCTCTATTTGCTTGTGCCTCAGGCACTTAAAAACTTTTTATGGGATAGGAATATGGATTTAACTTGATTATACTCACAATAAACCATACAATTAATTATTATTTTTAATACTTTATATTTCACTATTTTATTAAAATTTTAAACAGAAGGTTAAATAAGTAGAAATGGAAAAAGTTAGATAAAACAGGAATTTCCAAAGACTATCATAGCCTATGATTCATAGGTTTAAAAGTGAGAATCAAAGAACCATAGCTTCAAGAATTACGACAACTATGGAACTATGGAGAGAACCGCTGAGGATAAGTGTTTTATCTGTTCCCAAGACATTACCGACAAGTGTCGTATCGAGACGTGTGGCCACCAGTTTTGTTTGCAATGTTTAATCACGTGGACGCGCGACTCTTTACAGACAGAGTGTCCGGTACTCACCACGTGTTGCCCCGCGTGTGGCTCTCTATTCACTTTCATTGAATACAAATTAGTGCCAAACGCACACTTTTCTCGGCACTCAATCCATTCGCTCCCATTGTATGATATGATCAGTGATGCGGCCGTCAAAGCGAGAGATAAGTTTTAACACTTTAAAAAGTTTCATTTAGGTTCATTTACAGCACAGCCTGGACATTGTGTCCGACTTGTAGACCCGCAAAGTGCATGTCATTGATGAACTGGTTCAAGAGATTTACCACGAGTTGAAACACAAACAACAAAATATTGCTCCAAACCATCGCTTAGCAAATGATAGCCAATGGAAGACAAGTTGACCGATGGTTAGCGGCGTTTATCGGCTCACATAGTGATGAGAGTCTTAATTGCGTTTATTGTTTATGTTATGATTCAGTCGGTGCTTGACTTATATGTGAAACATTAAAAGAAAGTTTAAATTAACAATTATTTAATAACTATTTGTTAATAAAGTTATGAAACATTTGTATTGAGCGCTAAAACCCAATGCAAACGTATGACAACCAATCAATCGCTTTGAACTCATTTCCCCTTTAATTCAATCCACAAATACTGTAAAACACTATATTTTGACCCCTATTTTCAGAGGCTTTCAAATGCAAGCAATTTATTGTATAAAATATATTTATAACACATTTTTGCACCAAAAAACATGACATTATTTATGAATCAATTTATAACACATTTCTTAAAGTATTGATAAAAAAAGTTGTTTACAAATGAGAAGTGGGTTTGGATTTGAATTGAATTAATGTTTCATTCAATTAAAACACAATTAAAGCGTGAATTGAATGCAAAACATGTGTTGAATGTGTGAACCAATGACACGATTGGAGACATAATAGGCGTTGAATTGACCGCTTGTTTGATTGGTCTCTAAAATCGGTCCGCAATTGAAATCCCGACGTTTTCAACACGTTTTGAATGCTTTCATAATTAAACCAATTGTTAACCAATTGATCACTCATTACACACACTATCACCGAATGGATCCGCTGTTGTCGTCGGTGTTTGTGAGGCCAGAGGTGAGCGACTTTGCCATCATTATTGGTGACCAACGAATCAATGGTGAGTCCCATCAAAGCGTTGACTATTAATAGTTGG